TGAGGTGCCCTTGAGCAAGTCACCAAACCCCCAACTGCTCCCCGCAGCAAAAAATGGCTGCCCACTGCTCTGCTCCGGGTGTGTGTTCACTTTGGATGGGATAAATGCAGAGCACTAATTCTGAGTATGGGTCACCATACTTGGCCACATGTCACTTCACTTCACATGTTTTTAAATCACTGAAGTTTTCAATAATAAAAGTTTTGTCTTTCGGCTACTTTTGAGCAAATCAGGTGAGCTATTTAAAGATAATATTGCAGATAAATAGATTATGATGCACAAATCAATGTAAAGACATTCACAAAAAAAATAAAAAATAAAAATCAAATAAGTAGAATGAGATCCATAAGTATACAGTATGTTAAGGTGCATTCTGGTGCATTTTTAGATCACTGCAAGCATTTGTGTATTTTGAAATGTTTATAGCATCTAAATGTGTTCACAAATCCACACTCAATATGCTGTCTACTCAAGCTAATCAGGTAACAGCTACATTGGCTAATCATGGTCACAGTAGAATAGGAAATCAGTTTACTTTCCATTGCATCCAGTATAACTAACTATAATGTTTTTTGTTTTTTTTTGCTTTTGATGCATCAAAGGATCAGAATTTGTGTATAATCTTTAGTTTATCGATTCACCGATACTTATAAAACCCCAACAGTTTATTTATTTATTTATTTGTATTTATTTTTTTTGCATTTGTGTATGTATGCCCTGATGAAAGAAATGTTACATTTCTTTTGTAAAAGGAAATACAAAACAATTCTAGCAACAAAGCTGGAATACAATATAGTGGTGTGGACACTATTTTCTTTAGAAAACGCTATCTCCTCATCTTTTTTTCTTAAAAAAAACAAAACATTAGAAGGATTTGTAAAACTTTAATATGGTTCTAATTCTTGGTGGATTTATGTTTTCTTTATACATATTATTCTACAATGAAAATAATCATTCATGTCCATTCTCAGAACTTGATATGATCACAACAACAACAAAATTAACCAGCTGTTATCGGCATCAACATTAATACATTGACCAAAAACTAATCCATTGATACTGTTCAAATGCAATACACATTTTTTTGATGCCAAACGTAAACCTCACTGATTTTTGGAAGGAATCAGGTTGGGGTTTTTGAAAGAACATGTAGTCTGAATCTGCAGATTTTTTTTGTATTCCCTCCCCTCTGCCAGTGCTGATCGTAATGTTGTCGGTGGACTTCATTTTCAGCAGTTATTGCCAGCAGTCATCAAAGTGGGCCTGCTCTCTTGACCTTTCTGACTCTGTTGCCAGAGCTTGAATAAATGTGGCTAAAACTTGTGAATAAAATAAAGGCCATTCTCTTTGAAGACCTTAGATCTCTTCAGCTGCTCAACACAATCTTTATTTATGACTTTTCTAAACCCAGCATCTTAATTTATCAGATTGTCATCAATATAATACATATATCAACAGCAACAACAAAAACACTACTACTACTACTTCTAAAGTAGTTAATACATAATGTGTATTGTAATATATGGAGTATAATAGACCAGTATAATATCATATTATTGTTGTTGCTACTGTTTTTTTTTTAAAGACATGGGCAGTTTTGCTAATTTTACAGTTAAAGTTACCAAACAAAAATTATTTCATCACATAATATTGAAGCTTACATGTAAATTATTTAATTCATAAATAAACAAACAAACAAACAAATATCTATGCACTGTTTCTTCGAAGAAATTGGAGACCTATAACCTACAGTAAAATTATCATGGTGTTCAACCCAACAGTTTACATGAACACTCCCATTAACATCTTTAATCTGTCAAATTTAACTTACTGACTGTTAATAATTTCAGATAATGAAATAAATCAGTTTATTCTAGTTTGAACATTCATCTCATTTTTTTATTTTTATTTTATTACTTTATTTATTTTTATTAGTGCTGTCAAAATTAGCGTTAACACAAGCGATAAATTTTTCCAGTTTAACGGAGTTAAAAATATTTAACGCATTTAACGAAGGGACGGGCGGGGCTAGGGTTGGCCACCCCACTCAACTGCTGCTTCTGTCTCTTTATTTCTTGACAAGAATTGTGTTTATTTAGACACAGAATGTCTTTACGACAACATCAAACGGGAGACTTTTCAGATGCGTACTCCACTTCACCTCAGCGACGGGCGGTAGTCAAACGAGTGCAGAAACGGTACCGGTGATGAGGCAGCTTCAGTAGAACATCAGTGAACTGCGGTCAGATGAGATGTTGTCAAGCCATATGTCAGTAAAAATGAATCTTCTTGTCCTGTCTGCTGTTATACTGTGCTTGTAGAATGCGCGCTTCAATTGCATGCACAAATATGGCAGCACACTGTAGTCTGTGTCATTTCATATTAAAGCGTGAATGAAACTACGAGCATGCGTGTCAGATCCACGTCAGGTTCAGCAGCAGCAGTTCTTAAAGTAATAGCAGCCAAATAACCTAATAGCTCAGCTGCGGTGATTAATTAAAGAACAAAAGAAAAAAGAGGAAATCAATAACTTTTGTAGCTTAGGATGTAAGGAAGAAACCTTATGTATACTTCTACAGTATATTTAATTTAGAATTTAGTGTTTGATAACTTATTTGAGAACTATTCAATTTCTGTATATTTCCTACTTGCTGAAGGGCACAGCTAAATATGACATTTATTATAATGGGTTTATCTGAGGATTGTTTTCATTTCACTTAAATTGGAAGTAGTTATTTTTCTTTAAGTCTAATGAATGTTAAAATTAATAGCTCTCAATTATACTGTTGAATGGCTAGTCAATGGTTAACTATTAGGGGGAAAAAAAGAACTAGAGAGATCAGTATTAGTTTCCTAGAGAGATCAGTATTAGTATCAGTGATACTCGCCTTCAGTCATAAAAAAGATGCCATTAAACAAATATTAAAAATATACTGTCTTTATGTTGTTTCTACATTAATTTGAAGATTTAATGTGAAATCATTGCAAAATAAAAGTATATTTAAAAAACTTTAATGTTAGGTGGGATTAATTGTGATTAATTTCAGGAAAAAAATGTGATTAATTATTTATATTTTTTTATTTATATTTATATTTATTTATTTAGTTAGTTTTTTTGTTAATCGATTGACATCACTAATTTTTGCATTAGCTGTTTTCCTCCCAGTGTTTTAGCTCCTGTGTTATCTGCACAGGCCTCTTCAAGCAGTCTTATTTTGTCAGGGTTTCTTTTTTTTCTCTCCCTGTTGCCTGCCTCTTGTAAAGCACACTCATTTTGCTTTCTTACTCTTTTGCCTCCTCAGCTCAACCTGTTTTTCATGCACTGTTGAACTCCACTTTCTTGAAAAGAAATGAGGGCTTCACACAGCAGCGTGCGTCAATTGCAAGCCACTGCAGTTTTGTGCCAGACATGCTTTACCTCACTTACTGCATTCAGCATCACCAAACACCCTGTCAGCTTAGTGTTTGGAACACAGGCCTGCCTCTTGTTTGTAATTAGCTCATTTTGTTGATTTTATTTCCCCCACAAAATTAATTGAGCTTTGGTAATAAGTAAATAAATAAATAAAGGTGAATCTCACAAAAGCACCCCTGAATCAAAAGAAGGAAATCTAAATTATACTTTGCATACAAATTAAGCTGAAAATAAGCTTTGCTTTCTTTAAGAAATGTGACCCGGACATGTTCTTGACAGGTTTCATGAGATTCACTCATATTCATACTACACAGAGAATATATCAGACTCCTCTCAGATCTCAGTGCCAAAAACAAAATACTCTCCTCATCAAGGAGATGAAGCTCTGATTTGGGATGGAATATTAAATTATATGCTAATGACTGTGCTGTAGCTGCCATCATTAATGCTTGTTAAGGATATGAATGATTATTGTCAAGACTGTGTAGCTTTTGATTGGATTTAGTTACGTCTTTGATTTGTGACCATTTCTACTTCCTTTCGAATGTCGGATTTAATGTTTCAGATAAATATCCTCTGCAGTCATTCCGTTTGAATGTTTGGCAAGCACTGGGACCAGATAATCTGAAAAACAAAGATAAAAGATGAAGAAATTTTCGCTCCAGGACTGTAGCTGTGCCCTAGTAGCGAATCACACTAGTGTTTCAAACCATTTACCGTCATGACTTCAAACTAACCCTTGCAGGATAATTCCTTAAAATGAACACACACAATAGGAAACATAAAGTTTACACACCTTGAGTTGAAGGAGAAGTTTTAATAGGAACCTTG